AGAGAAACATTTTTCAAGTTCTTTTGGCTAAGAAACCAGGTCATGAAGCTGGAGATTGTCAGATCTAGCAAGATTGCTGCCCAGTTTAAGATACACTTGAAATCCATCATACAGGCATTTGGTGTACTAGCCTTTTCCATAGTGGACAGAGAGCTTGAACAGGAATAACTACTTCCCAGAAACAGGAAATCTCTGTTTTCGCAAGAGAGCAACTGCACGTGCACACACACACAGAGGCTCACTCATTTTCTCAGAACAAATCAGTCCTAGCAGAATTTCAAAAAGCTCTTTATTTAAAACACTAAAGAATCCAAATAGTCCTTATGGGAATTAGAGTAAATCTTTAGTGATTTAAAAGGAGTTATTGAACAATACGGACTAAGCCCACAGAACGCTTCAATATCTCACCARTAGACTCTTGACCCTTAAAGGTGGGAAGTGGGAGAAAAAAAGTTCAGGTGTTTCCCAATACTGTTATGCCTCTCTGAGGAATGCCACCAAAAAACACCAACCTGTGCTCAGAAAGGCTACACGTGGAAAGTCTGTCCTCTTTCCAGCTTGCAAACCTGGATTAGTAACTCTGTATATTCCACTRGGGAGTAGTTTGCTTTTATAGGCTTATTAATCAGCTTTGATGAAATGCCCTAAAAGGAGCTACTGGAGACCTCTTTCTTTCAGTGCTCCCATTGCACACAAATTACTCTTGGGTAATGAATCTCAGGTATCCTGGATAGCAGCTTTATAGTCCTTTCTTCTTCATTTCTCAGCCTGAARCTTCCCTTCAGACAAGGGATTTCTCCATCTGGAAGAAACAAGCAAGAGTTCTCACTAAAGGGCAGACAAAATTAAATAATTGTTTCTACTAGTTCCTGTCAAGTGGGACAGCAATAAAGCACATCAGCATTTACTCGCTTCTAATGGTCTTTTTCTTCACTGTAATCAAGCAGGCAAGGCACCGAGACAGAAAGATTAAATAAGAACAGCAAATCTCTCTCTCTCTCACCTATTACCAGACAATTAGAGACAAGTATACATGCAAAAGATGGGAAAATTGATATACCTTCTAAGGCTAACTGTGAAAAGGTATAGACATTGTCTAAACTGAGAAAAGAGTGTTGTGTACAGACAACCTGCAGCGTATATAGACACCACTTCAACCCACACCGCAACTTCAAGTCAAAAAGGGGGTCTAAATGCTTTAGTCATCACCAGGACTATCCTAACTACTCACATCTCCCTTTTCCATGCATCACTTAAATGCTGATAGGATTAAAGCCAYGTTCAGTTCAGCTATTTATGCCTTTCTGATATGACTCACAGCCAAATGAAACTCCTAAAAGTGTAGACTTGACACTTGTAGACAGCAAATCCCTGCTTCCATATTATGTCAGGCTGAAGGTCAGGGTGACATTTAAAAGCTGGAAGAGAGCAAAATAAATGAAAAAGGCTGAAGTAACTTCACTTCTAAAATTCTTTTTCCGCCCCCCTTAAAAACAAACTGTGTTTAAATTGTCTCCTTATGCTAATAACTGAAACTGGGAAGTGATAAATATTTCATACTTAAGACTTTTTTTTTTCCCTATTGAAAAACAAAATCATAATGCTATTTTAGTTTTTGAAATGCACCTCACAGCAAGTTTAACAAGTCAAGTCAGGACAGGTACTGACCTTTCAAAAGGCTGCTTTAAATAGTATTAGTGGAATAAATGGAATAATGCATATATGTTGCATTGCCTCTAGGGTAAGTCTTTACTTTTCCATCAACAGCAAAAGCACAATAACTTAATAATAGTAACAGCTTGATAAACTTGGTAASACTAAACAGTTTGTCGTTCTGTGTTCCCATCAAGTATAATATTATCCATTAAAGACAGGATAATTGCATTTGTTAATATAAAAGCATCTTTGGGCAATTGCTCTGAATAAGTGTAACTCATACGCTTGTGTATGCATTCACAGTAAGTGTTTCAAATAGAAGGAGCTAGAATGTGTATAAAAAATTTTTTTTGAAAGTGATAAATGTTTTATGTCCTTTTTTGTTTGAAGTGGGATACAGTAGGTAGTTTGCTTCCAGATTGCCATCAATAACATTAGCCCAAATTAATAAAAATATTGGCTTAAACCCACACTTTATTTTTCATTCACTGAGCTGTAAATATCAGGTTCTGATAAAGTTGCACAAGATTGCTTAGTTATCATCAGAGATGTATCCCTGGCAATTAGCAATGCATAGTTAAAAAAAGTCAAATATTAACATTATCTTCAATCGGTGCAACTAAAGCATAAACAAACCGTAAAAAAAATTATGGAAAATGCTTATCATGGCAAAACATTCTCCTCCGCAGACTTGGAAAGTTCCTTCAGCATAATAAACTCTATTAGACCTTATTAGTAGAGGGAAGTTAGATTACCCAGATCAGACAAGACGGCTCCGCAGTGAAGCTGTTTTCTACGATGCTAGGACACATGGCAGGGAGGCTGTCTCCGTTCCACAGGTCATGGAGAGAACACAACCGTGTAACTGTGCTACCCTGGGAACAGCTCCGCGTGACCACTGCTCTGTGAATAGGAGCTAATCCTTGAACAAGAATATTGAGAAGGCTACCCAAATTTGCTATGGGCTTGTAATTGCTAATTTTCCACTTAAAAGATTAAATCAGTCATTTATATACAGTATACTTTTTATTTTAAATGGTTTTAATATTCCCAATAGGTGTTTATGAAAAGGGAGAAAAAAAAAGAATTAAAAGAGACCAACTTAATGGATATAGACCTAACCATTTCCTCCACCACAGCTCACAGCTGAACCCCTAAGCCCCTAATATACTTACATTTTGTTTCATCATATTGCYCAAGGACTGCAGAAAAGATTTAGGTTTCAATCCTGCGTACCTGCAACTTAGAAATGTTAAAGCTTTTAACCAAAAAAAAAAAAAAGAGGATTCACTACTAAGGCATTAAGAGATCTAGCCTCCACTTCAACAGTGTACATGTATTCTTTATCCATAAAAATAGCTTTTATTCCTCCTCAATAAAACCTAACATTCACCACATACTTCCACAATTAATAAAAGTGTTTATTACTATTTTATACAACCTTTTCCAGTTACAAATCACGTTAAAAGGCACATTTGCAGCAACACTAGCAACCATCACTAGCAACTAGTGAACACAGACAATAAACTTGACACTTTACTCAACTGCTTCCATACTGCCTATGCTTTAGAGAATAAAAACAATTAAGAGGAGAGAGAAAAAAAAAAAAAAAAAAAGAAAAAAGGTTGATCATAGGAGTTTGATGCTGTTTGGCCATCCTGGTTAGGTCTCCTTTCGAGCTTGCAACAAATGCCAGGTAGCATTTTTCCAACTTTATTCAACAGTGACAAAGGCAACTAGGGCTAAATGATTTTATTATTGGCTACAAGTAAAGGCTTGTTGAAATTCTCACCGTAGTCAGTTGTTTTACATTTAATGCTGGTAGTCAGAAGACAACCCATTGAGATCTCACTGAAATTCTGCACTAAGATTACACAGTAAACTTTCAGCAAGTGAAAAATGCACTGCCCTCTTTTGGGCAACACGAAAAAATAATTCTTCACAGAAACTGAACTTTCTGTTTATTCTCAGTAAGGCAAAATTGCAGTTTCAACAGCTACTCCTCACATGTTTATACCAGCAGAAAGAATAGCTCTTGAAATTAAACAGAGCTGAAACCCTTCACTACTCCATATACAGCAAGATACAATCTCTTAAAACTAGAGGATGGGATAAGGCCCAAACTTTTTTTTTTTTTTTTAAACACCTTGAATTTGGCAATTCCTCAGCTTAATTACCTTTGCATCCATGTAAGACTGTCCTCACAGCAGGCAATATATACGTATCACCCTTAAAGCAAAGTTATACATTATGAAAAGGCTTGTTAAAAARTGAACAAAAAAATCCCAACTTTCCTTTCCTTCAACCATCACTGCTATAATGAAATATTAGAGCAGGAAGCTTGTAAACACAGGTTAGTGTTTTCATTCACTGCTGGCCATATCAATTTTGCTCTAAACAGAGCTGTGGAGCTCATGAGTTTTACTGAAATGGATCTTACTCTTCCAACCACAGCAATGGCTCAAAATGATCCTTGCAGAAGTAGAACAGTTTCAGCTTAACTTTTTGAGCAAAATTTTATCCTATTAGTACATAGGCACTCCAAATGATGGAGCAGTAATAAACATTTTATTCTGGTTTCCCTAAAAGTTCTCTAAATTCTCTCTAAAAATAGTATTATATTAACATAACACACATATATGAGATTCTATATATGTTTATACCTAATAGGATACTTATAAATTTTATGCATATTTTTATGTCAAAATTTAAATATAGATTTTAAACTTATATATGTTCATATGCACAAACAATGCATACATAGAACTTTTATATATATATATAAATATATATAAAAATCTAACATATACATAATACAACCTTTACCAAGACAGATAATATTTTCCAAATTTGTGCGATGCCTGGCAGAAGGTCAACTGCCATGTGAGCTCCCTCCACCCCTGGACATTCCCTTTGGCCCAGGGTCTCAGTCAGACAGTTACCCCAAACACTGCCTTCACTTATATCACAAAGTAAGGACAATAATTAAAATGCTACCTATGCAAAGGAGGGAGAAAGTGAAGCACTGTCATTTTTTTTTTCCTCCCCTTCACTCGTCAAGTTCAAGACTCTTCATTATGTTTTTTCCATATACGGTTAAACTTCCTCTTACCTCCAAAGGTTAATTGACACATACAGTTTATAAAGTTAACTTTAGCATACTATCAAACAGATACTACTTTTTAACTTATTATTTCCCCAAAATAATGCTGCAGCTTCCTTTTAAACCAAGTCTACAACATAGATGCTCAAAAGTCAAAAGACTGATGACTTCCTAGACATATTCCAATTGTCTTATCCAGCAATAAAATACCACATCAAGAATGTTTGCCAAAATAAAAATGGGAATATTTATTATCTTTTCTACTAAAGAAATGCAGATCTTTGAGATTATACATCGGTCTTTGCAGATGTTCTACAGCTAAATTCATACTTTTCAGCTCCGTAAAAAAATTAGAAACAAACTTCATAAAATAAAGACACAGGGTGGCATGTCACTGAACAGTCAGACAGTATAATTGTTAAGAAAAATGAGCAAAGAAAGCTCATGCATATATTGAAATTATGTCATTTTCTGCATCATCATCATATATTTGAGTGGGACAAAATGTTTCAACAATTTCCTCAGGAAGAGGATGGAAGTACATGTTCAGATCCATTTCTCAAACTTTTCTAAATCCAACAGACGTAAATACTGAATTTGATCAAGAGACCCTAGACATTACTTAGTAGTACTACATGCACATGATGCAAGGGAAGAAAAAAAAATTTAGACCCGTGCACACAGTACAAGACAAACTGTTACAACTGTTAAACGTGCGCTGGACAAAGTTTAAAGTTTATGAAAAGTTTTATTTGCTGTCATGTAAAGAGTTTCAGAAGCACACAGCCGTAYGCCTTTTTCAAAGTAATCTTCACTTGGCCTCCTGAACTTTCTTGGCATTCTGTTTTTCTTTTGCCTAGAAAGCAGAGGGAGATGATGTTAAACCTTGATAAGACAATAATTCATATTTTTACAGCCTATTATAATATTCCAAGCTTAATAATAATCACATTAATAATATGCAAATGAATTAAAAGTTGAATTCAAGAATAAAAAGTTAATTGACATTTTTGGAACAACTACAAGTCAATATAGTTCTTCTAGATCTGTACACAAATACAGAGAAGCACAAGTAGTGAGCAAAAGAATTCATCTTTGTCTTATCTCCCTGACAATTTAAATAGTATAAGTCTAGACACTTGCAAGGCATCTTCTCYTATAAACTAGTAGTGTACAAATCTATTCAAATTCAGCTAGATTAATGAACTCATTAAATGATATATAGTTTTTTTATACAAGTTTGAAACTGAAGCTCCTGTCTACGCACACAGTACACATGCAACCCAGCACTATGATGTTGTTATAATTCAAGTCAATACAGTTGCAGACAGTCCTTTACAGAGCGACAAGTGATATATTACACAATAAACATTTCTTAATTTATACCTTTAGTGAAAAATCAATGCTAATAGCTAGACACCATACCAAGTCAGGGACAATGAGCCAGTACATCGATATTAGTGGAGATCTAAGTGCCTTCAAAAGATTCACATTACCCAAGCTCTGTGCAAAGGTTGCCATCTAGTGCTGACAGATAAGTTAACAGAGCTGAGTATTCAGATTCCAAGAAACAGGGACCAGCCTTCAACATGTACGTGAATGGGGCTTCTCCACACGCAGAAAAAAATTCTACTAGAATTACGATGCATAACTCTAGTTACCACATGATTATATTCCCGGTGTCTTTCTGACATCTCTTTTTAAGCTCAGAGATGCACACACGCTTTGTGTTGTACCACCCTATGGCTGTTACCACAATCACCTAGCTGGTACCGCCACCACTGGGAGTTCTGCTTAGTGGATAGGAGAGGCAAAGCTGGTGGGTCCCTCCATCCTGCACCTCCATCAGGATCCAACCTCTTCAGAAGTGCAAGGTACTACCACATGAACCAGCAATACAGCTGAAGGCAGAACTTTTAAATAAGCAAACTCATGTTATACCTGCTTCCAAGCTACCTGATTACAGTGTCATTTTTATAACTTCTACTTAAAATTATTAGTAATGTATTGAAGATACATTACTAATAATGTATAATAATAGTWATGTAATGAAGAGTCAACCAGAAATACTTACTTTTTCTACTAATGGTATTAACTGTTGGTGTTCTGCTAAAGTCTTTAATAATTCCATGATGAAAGGCAGATAGTTATGTTTTCTTCTAATATTTTCAATCTAAAAAAATATTAAAGCGGTAACAAAATTAAGAATAAAAGATTTTTTTGCTGCAAAAAAAACAGTTCTTTGAGTATCAGCCAACTATAAATGAAGTCCAAAAGACTTATGCAATATTGCCACTAATTTTTCACATCCATTAGTAAGTTTAAGTGTTTTGTTCCATCAGTTTAATTGGYTGCTTGGTAAACTACAGGCTTGGATTTATTATTATTATTGTTTTATTTTTCGGTAGAAGCTCTTCTGTTATATTATGATTCTACGAAACAGAGATGTAAAAACCCTATCAAGTAGCCACTATTACATACAGGAGAATAATTAGTGGTTCCAGCTGTAACATGCTGATCAGCCTTCTGGTGCACATAAAGTAATCACTTTGCAAGAGTTTCATAATTCACTGTGCTTTCATAAATACAGCCAACTTGTAAAGTGAGAAAATATAAAGAAAACACCAAACCTGCACATCACAAACCAACTTTGGGCTAAAAGCAAGCTGTTTTGCAAGCTGTGAATTCAGAAATAACATTACAATTTACATATGTAACACACAGGCCCTGTATCTACCATTTCCTTCAGATTAATGGCAACAGTTCCCCAAGACACCAAAGCTGACTTTTTCTGTTACGACTTTTTTCAATACTTTATCAGACAGAGACTACATACCTTGTATCTTTTCAATTTTTGGTTCTCTTCTTCAATTAGCATCTGGTATTTTGCAACTTCTGACTGTATAGAACTTAACATATTACTGCTCTGGTCTGTGTCCATAGGTTCCTCCTTCCACAAAAACAGAAGTTGTTAAATGGATGACAAAGCTATAGCATGTCTTTCTTAAATTTCTGTAACTTTTAAAGTTATAGACAAAGAAATAGCAATGCTTTTCTTAAAAGCAAGAAAAGTCTCCTCTTTATGTACATGAACAGAAATATCGTAAGAGTCAAATCTGCTTACAAATACAGGAGCATTCTACAAATTTCTACAGTTAAGTGATTTAACTCAAGTACTAGGAAAAGAATAGCCACGGTACTGCAGCACACTACCCTTAAAAGATGGGCACAATGAGGTGGTCATAATACCAAATTAGCTCCCTCAGAACTAACCAGAGCTGCCAGGTATTTCCACACAGCACTGCACTGTGCTTGACAGAAATCTTACCATCCTTTCCCCACTTTTCTTAGTTAATGCTCCTTTTGGAGCAAAGAAAAAAGGAAGAACAGAGGAATAGCGAAGACAGAATTATTACCAAGCAGCCCCAGTAACCTAAATATCACAGACCTACCTCTGCAAGTTGCCGCTGTAACTCTGCAATCCTCTGCTCATATATCATTTTTCTATCAGACACAATGGCCATCAAGTTAAACCTTATCTCCCCTTCACTGTACCTAAATAAGAAGAGCAAGAAGTTCTCAAAATTAAACTTTGTATACAAAAACTCAATCCTCCCCCCCGATTCTTTCATTATAAGGAAATTCATTTTGCAGAGGAAAAAGAAACAAAAAAGAAAAAACAGAGCTCTATATATGCTTTCAAAATGTCTCCTCATTGATACTTCCTGTTAGAAAACGCTACCTCTTTTCCACAAAATGTTGCAAGTTGAGCAGTTAAAATCTGTAACCCTTTCAGAGTTTAAATTCTCCAAAAGTGATACAGTAGAAAACATTTTATCAAATACCAGGGCAAAAGGAAAAGACTCTCTGAAAAAAATATTTCCTAAAAATAGCATAAAGCCAACATTTCATTTCTAGTTTGTTCTAGAGGATGCAGTTTGGGGTCAGAGTTCAGATGCTGCAAGATTTCTACAGTAATCTTTTCTGGTCTAAGCTTCCAAAGCAAGTTGTGAGCTACCTAAGGAAGCCTCGCTTTCTATAAATACCAGATAATAGATTAGAAATAGATAATAGATAATTCTATAAATACCAGATAATAGATTAGGTATTTTGAGTGAGAGGTATCACTCAGACCTTATTCTCAGCAATAACACACTTAGTTTCCACTTAAAGATTCACAGTTTTCCACAGAAAAAGATAACATTCTTTCTTCCTTTGCCAAAGGAAGGATCTCTTCAAAACACAGATCTCTATTTCCATTAAGTAACATATTTCATTTAGTCAGGTACTCATGTAAGATAAAACAACGCATAAGCTTAATTCCTTAGAAATTCAGGTGTAAGTCTGTAGTTGAAGGAAGTTAAGAAAAAGGAAATTTTCCCTGCATATAAGGTGCTGTGTTTTAAAAGCATCGTGACCATTTACTTTTGTATGCGTTTCTCTATGACAGGCCGCACTGCGCTTATCCAGTCATCTTGATTGCATGAACCTAGAAAAAAAACAAAGGAAGAAAAACCTAAACTTTTTTGCAGAGTTCATTGGAAATTCGAGGCTCAGAGAATTTAGGCTTATGTAGCGTCATCAGACAGAAWACAATATTTCCTTGGGCAACTTCAGGCTGAAAATATCCAGGTTATCCTGTTGAGGAGCCATTTTCAAATAATAATAATAATTAAGAAATGKACTGTTAAAAGTATGAGAGCATAACTGCGTTTTAAGGGCAAAAGCATCTAATTTGTTGATGACAAGAGAAAAACTATATCTTATGTGACTTACATAGGATAGAAAAGACTAACTGGCATGACAAACTACGAAAATAATCAACGTGATAAGCAACTTTCCTTCCATAATATAACTAATGTTTTATTCTGATACACTTTGAAGCAAAGTTCGCATTTTTAAAACAATGCTCAACATTTGAAAGGCTCTTGGATGAAATAATGGCCACACCAGAGCTGACCAAAATCAGGTCAGCTCTCCTGACTTCAGTAGGTTAAATAGACATTTTTATTTCCTGTCATTTTACAGGGTTTCTCTCAAGTAAGCTTTGATTTAAAGGAAGAGTTAAAATGAAAGACATTTAAAAAGAAATAAAACATTACCTAAATCAATCGGTCCTTCCCTTAATCCATCTAGTTCATACAGTCGCCCGTTAACAGGAACATAGCTTACAAAGTGAAAGGCATCTTCTTCTTTTGCTGAAGACTTTGCATCAAACTCAAACATCTGCTGCCTGCAAAAATAATTTATATATATACACACAGACACACACATATTTAAAAACAACCAAAAAACCCCAAAACACAAAAATCGCCAAAACACACAACCCACAGTAAAGAGAAAAAAAAAAAAAGAAAAAAAAAAGAAAAGGGTTTAACTTATATGCATAACATTTAAGAACACTCAATTACCTGGCAAAACTGTTGTGAACTTGCCGGATTACCTCTGAGTTGCTTAGTGCTAAACCTTTCATCTAAAAATTAGAAACAGAAAGAAAATAAGACATTGGACAGACAATACTAAAATATTTAAAGTTCAGAAAAGAGTAGACACTTACCGCAGCATCAAAACTTTGGGAAAATTCTTTAAATTCCGACAGAGTCTCTCCTAGATGGATATCTTGATGAGCACAATTTAATAGCACACTTACTATGGCTTGAGTAGCACAAGCGTTATTTATTACCTAGGAAAAAAGCGCAAGTGCTGAGGATTTGTTCAGTGCTGCTGACACAAGTTGGACAACATTTTCCATTAAAAACACACATTTTCATGGCTGATTCACACTACAGTGTCACTAACAGTAGAAGCGAAGCTGATCAAAGTAATCCCCCAAAAGTTCTTGCTGCAGAATACTCATACAGAGAGCACTGGATGGTCATCTTATCCAATTCAGTGATAACACGAATGTTTTACATCTCAAACTCATCTTACTGCTTCACCTCCTCCCTACAACTACTAAAGGGCAAAAAGAAAAAAAAAAAAAACACCCCAAACACAACAGAACTCCACTCTTTTATAGTCAAAAATTGTTCTTTAAATAGTCMAAATAGTTCTGGAAGTCTTTTCTGTGACAGATCACTATGAAAGGTTGAGGGGATAGGGGAAGAATCAGCAATCCAGATGACAGGGAACTTTGTATATTCCTCCAAGGTATCTGATCTTACTAATTTAACTGTCATTTCACAAGCCAAATGTAAACCAGGCACCAAGACTGAGGATTGCATTCCTCTACTAAACTTTTTTTTAAATTAAATTACAGGCAAATAAACTTAACCTCTTCCTCTTGAAAACTGATACTCAGTCTGTATAGGAAATTGAATTCTTTTAGAGACATTTCAAGGGGGGGTAAAGTGAATTATACTCCTATAATTGTCCTTAATTAAGCAAATGTCAAGGGCAGCAAAATAAGCAGTAGCAAAACAAACAAACAAAACAAACAGCAGAGTCTAACAGCATAATAAAATTAAAAAGAATTAATATTATAACATAAGAAAGAGAACAAAGAACTAAAGGTTTTGAGATACGATTGGGGCGTGATATGACAGACTATGGTAGAAGTAGTACTGAGATGAAAGCAAATATCTCCAGTGGACTACAGGGAGCTAACCTGAAACAGTGGCTGCAAATATTATATTAATTAAGCTGAYAGAAAAAGTAAAAAGAAGGAAGTATTAACAAGAGGGTGAACCATGGTAAAAAGGGTGGTGTTAGAATGAAGGGACACCACAGTAAACTTCAGCTACAAAAAATGATAGATAATACAGGACATTAAGGGAAGAAAGAACACTTTTTTTTTTTTTAAATTGAAAAATTATGATAGATGGAACGATCAGTTGTTCTGACACAGCAATAAGCCAACAATGAATTCAAACATGTAAAGAGAAATTTAAAGAGAGATTCAATCTAAAGTCAGCATCAAAACAGGAACCAAGCAACTGGATACAAGAGTTAGCACCAACAGCAAAAAYAGGAAGAAATATGAAACTCAACATGGAATTTGTAATCTCAAATACCTGCGTTTCAGTATAAATGTATTTTTTATTACAACTGCAGTGCAGGAGCAGTTGGTTTAAATGCACAGGAACAAAGTTCAATCAAGTATTATTCCCAGGAACAATGTGCAACGTGGATCTTAGATAAGCTGACCCCAGTTAAGAAATGACATTATAGACCTACAAACAATTCCCAAAGCATGAGACTGAAGGTAAGGAAAARATGGGACAGCCCTGGAGCTCAAGAATAGCAGAGTATCAAGTGACAGATGTTAGAAGCCAATAGGCTCCTGGATCTACATGACATGAGAGAAGTTCTAAGGAAGAAGGAGCAGGTACCCAGCAAATGCTCCTGGGCAAGGTGAGGAGGGCAGAGCAAGGGAAATGCAACTGCAGCAATGAATGTGGATGACAGCAAAGTTTACTCCATGGGCACAATTTCTTATCAATGCACAGATCCAGTCCAGCACTGCTACACACCCACGCTAAGGGGTCTTAGAGGGACAGACGTCCCATCCACTTCAATTTCTATCGTTCTGCTGTTACATAAGGTGTCTCAGTATTGGCACAAGATGTCTTCTCAGCATTTAAACAGTAATATATATACAGTTTGTCCCCAACAACATTCTTTTTTTGCCTGATATTTTGACTTGAAGAGACTTGAGAAGATTTTTTTGCATTTGTTCAAAAAAAAAGTCTCAACACTTGTCAAAACACTTCTGGGTTGTATTTGGTGCTTCCTTGATAGAAGTCATAGATGTACATCTTCCATTCTGCTACCTATGTTGTTAAACAAAAAAAGTCAGCAGCAACTCTGGATGGTCCTCAGCATTAGGACAGAGTTCTAAKATCTTCTTCAACCCTTACTCTATTTTACTAAATCATCCTTCAGAACAAATGTCCTCCCTACAAGCAATATATTCCATTACCAAAAATCCGTTTCTAACTGATTCAATGTACTGCGAGTGCATTTCTTCATATGGAGAAATTCACATTTTTCTTCATATGAAGTTATTGGTTATTCTCAGTTTTGCTTCAGCATAAACACACAGTCTGATTTATTGCTACAGAATAATAAAAAACTCAACAGGTTTACTCAGAAAAAAAAGAAACATTTGAAATGTAGAAAAAACACAAGTAATGAGCTCCCATAGTGACACAGACAGCTGCGAGAAAAATACAAGTCATGAGCTCCCATCAGCGACACAGACAGAGCTGTAAAACAACTTTATTTTAACAGTATCATTCTAGATCTTGCTTCTGGAAGCATGAGGCTTTTATCCCCAGTTACAATGTTCTATCATCACAATGCAGCATAAAAATCAATACATGGCTCAAAGTAGAGGCACAGTACTAATACTTCACTAATAAAACCTGAGACAGCTACTGGAAAGAACCAAACCAATAAAACACTCGTGGAAACATCTGAAATCTGYAGCAATTTTTCGCCCAAGAGAGGCTTTTACTTCTGCAATGATCAGTGCAGAACACAATTGCTCAAGACAGATYCTAGAATTGCTCAATTCATTGAGTGGTTCAATCATGTCACCACTGTGCATAAAAACCACCAGTAAAGGCCTTCAAGCAGCACAGAAATAAGGAAATTCAGAGTTAAGGCTGAAATTATATCCTTAACTCACCTCATTGTGCTTAGGTATCCTAGCTCAAATGGTATGTAAGATCATCCAGAGTTCTGTGGCCTCAAATAGAGGRCCATATCAAACCTAGGCATAACAGGGAGGCCAAACTGAACATGAGTGCACATAAAACTGACCTTAAAAAATCCTTTACTATGCATGCATATTAGACAKACTTCAAAATTTAGCTTTCCTCCTACACAATATACTTACAATTCAGCCTTGAGTAAGATTTAGTGGCATTTAAGATTCAGCTAAAACAGTGCTATGAAGGTGGGTGTTTAAAAAAAACAGGTGTGTGAAATGCACAAGCTTAAAAAAGTGTGTGTTTCCTAATGCAAGCTTAACACTATTTTGTAACATACATCSTTTCAAAGTTGTAACCTTTTAGATCTGGCTAAAGCTTCCACATAAACAAACATAATTTCAAAATGGAAAAAATAAACAGAAATAGAGCTACGCTGTTGATACAATTACTCCCCATACTGAATTCCTATTATGTAACACYTAATTATTTAAATAATTGCTACACAACTGTTCTATTGCCGACTTCCCAGCTGCCCTAAAATTTTTCCCAATAAAGGAACTTATTTGCTCTGTGACTCCATGCTACAAGTGAACATAAGATTATTCTATTCATGACTATTATTTTTTAAAAAAATAGGAATAGCACMGTTTTGCATGGTTCAAATAGTGCAAATTACTAAAAAAGTTATGCCCGTATTATTTATTTTTAGAAAATAGAATGCCTTGACAAATCACCTGAAAAAGGTTATTGAAAGATAACAACCCCCTGCCTYCCATCTCTGCCTAAAAGTCACCACCTAAAAAGACGTGAACACAAGGGGAAAACAAACAAGAAAGTGACATGAGCCCAGGTGCATGACAGTTTTGGAGGAGTTGCTGATTTATAATAGAATGGCATTTAATGCCATTTAGAATAGAACTTAGAAATAGAATAGCATTTCATATCAATGCTTGCTATCCCTTTGGGTGACTCAGCAGAACTCACGAGTGTGGTTGCAAGAAATGCAGGAAGCTCTGCACTATCTTCCTTTCACCCTTGCTTACCTTGCACCACCTTTGGCTGCTACAGACTCACCAAACCAACACATCTCACACGGCAGATCACAAACCCAGTAAGACACAGAGAAAATCTACTGAAACCTCCTGCCTGATAAGCTGAGYGCACTCATGGAAGTTGATGAGCATCTGAACCATCACAAGAGAGAAACAGAACTCTGCAGTCAAAAGGAAAAGCAGGTTGGGAGAATCAAGGCCTTGCACTCTCATCAGCATCACGTCAACCCTTTGCTTTACAAAACACAGGCAAGATATCTTGCTAGGTTGCATTTGTAACAAAGGCTAACTACCCTTAAGTAAAATAACCAAAGCTAAATACGTACACGCATTAGCCTAAAACACAAATTCAACTTTCATTGGTCTCTTCATCTTTTTATTTTTCCATGACTATTTCAGTACTTATTCGGTCACGATGCCTCTGCGCAGGCAAAGTTGATCTAACAAACCCAAACATACATGCATTTACACAAAAAGTTTTGCTTTTGCTATGCCACCACACTTGACTAACAAGTAAAACTAAAGGACCAAAAAGATATTCCAATTTTAATGTCTTTGCAGGTTACTTTTGAAATATGTACTTCATGCCACCAAGTGGCATAACTTAGGTACTACTAATTTAAACAATGAACCTCCTTAAAGAGCTGCAGGTGAAGGATGGGGAAGATCAGAAAGCTCCTTCATCTCTGAAGGTGATGAGAAGTCTTCTGTCTTCAGAAGACAGTAAAATATGAATGCTTCAAAGAATGCTTCAATACAGACTTTTGATCATTAGCCTTTAATTTTCTAGCGTTTTTGTTAGTGAGTTTAATGTTACACAAATTTTGTGATTTATAAATCCAACTTCAGGTCCTAAAAAGCTCATATTAGATACCTGCTTTGAGACATCRTGTCCTGCTGCAGAGATAAAGAGTGTGGAAGGAAGTCAACAAGACGGAGCAAACAAACACTTCAGTTTTCCAGAGGTCACAGGAATGGCCATTCTGGGATAACTTCGCTAAGTCACAAGAAATGAGACAGATGAAATCCTTTGAACATGGACAAGTACTTTTTAACCTGAAAAACTCCTTAGCTTCAAACCAGTTATTTCTTCCTGCCAGGTAATTACCATGTAAGACTAACAGGTTACCCTACAAGACTGAGGTTCTTTGGGTCAAGGTAAACCTATAGCTACTACCTATTGATCTTCAGCAGTGTTTGATTAGATAGAAAGCATAAACTAGTAAAACAAGAGACTAATAATCTATAAAACACTACATAAACTACTCCTGGTCATTGCACCATTATGAGTGACAGACACTGCTCATCTGAACTCAAGAGCTGCAGCAAGAGAGGAAAAAAGAAAGCAGCATTCGGAAAGACCAAGGAACAAAGCCACTCAGAAGAGCATGAAACACTTGGAAATGGATCATAAAAGAATCCAAGGAGAGACAATTATCTGCACAACAGAAGCGCACGTGCAGAGGAGCTAGAAGAGCTAAGAAGACAGCTAACATTTCCATTGTTTTCTACATTTCTATTTAAGCCTAGAAAAATGTAGACACTTGTTTATATCTTCAAACTTGTGTACGAAGCACTTATCAGTTTATRGAAAAAGCAGCCTATGTGTAAGCTTTCTTTAAGAAGCTTCGAAAGCTCTGCCCTTGGATGCGAATGCTCTGTAGCTTGCTAATTACGGTTATTAGTTTTTGTTTAAACTGTTACATTTATGCTCATTTAAGTAGCAGGTTTTCAAAGATGAATAAACAAAACACAAACTTTTATTAAGGTTACTTTTTCTTACTGTTCGTGCCCACAAACAAAACACTGAATAATCTGTCAAAGCCGAGACTGAATTTCAGTGCTATTTGGTCCTTAATGAAACATTAGCATAAAGAATTTTAATCACTGAAATAAGGAATGTAAATTTACACTGGAAATAGCAGAAAGGTTTAATAGGTTTCTAGACCAAATTGCTCTAGAAAGTCTTAAAAGATTATCYCATTTGAGTCATACTGACCTGACTAAAGACCATTTGAGAAACCAGAGATAACAATTGTATTGAAGTACACACTTCTTTCTATATTATTTGTTGAAAGTCATTTCAAAAAATGCTCAAAGCATTTACTAAATAATTCTTTATGGCACAAAAGAGTAACTTTTTCTTACTTATTCTCCAGCTCTCTAAGAGCTTTACTATTTTGGATGTGATGAGTCTTTTTTTTGCCTTAGCACATCAGATATGCCTTGTCAACATCTTTTTAATACACAGTTCCTACTCTCAAAATTTGGTAACATAATTCCATCTTGTAAAATATTCACCTCTGTATAGAGTTTAACAAGACACAGTTTTTTTTTTTTCAGTATTAAACGCTGTGTCATGATATAAGAAAAAAAGAAAAACACTGAACTTGCCATACCTGTTTAGCAAAAAACAATGTGTCCAGCCTTGAATCCTGAACAACAGAACCTGCTGGTTCTTCTCCAGGCTGCCATTTGAAGAGGAAAATCAACCCATGTACTGGTCTAAAAGATAAAATGGGTGAGGGGAGGAAAAAAAAAAAAAAGAAAAGAGAAAAGAGAAAAAAAAAAGAAAAATATCAAAGCCAGAAACCTCTACTATAATTGTATTCTATACTGTACTGTATTGTATAATAATTGAATTATTTTTTTTCTAAACATCAGGAACTGAACCAAAACTTGGAAGAAAATTTCTTTTTGTTAAGAAGAACACATTTCAGACTTCTCTCCATACATGCCAAATAATCCAAATTCCAACTAGTGTTTAGTTAGTAATTTTCCTAAATCTGGACAGGTCCTACTGGCTCTTGTAATTATTATAATTGTAGAGCATCCTTGCGAATCTGTTAATAACAAATAAATGGCTATTAAAAACTTTGCCAACCTCGTACATAAGAGCAGGAACCAAACTTTTGGTACTCCCAGCCATAAATGAACTATTCAAACATAAAAGGAGTTTCTTGTGAAATTCACATTTTAAGTTACAACTAAGTAGTAGGAGAAATCTATTGCTTTCTATCCAGACTGCCAACATGCAAAGACAGTAGTCTTCTCTGAAATAGATTCGGTATTGCTTTTATTTGCTATTCTATAGAGAACTTCAGCTATGAAGAACAAGTTCTTCACAGCAATCTGATTTTAAGATCAGCTCAAGAAGTATGGCACAAAAAGGTTTACCTACAGTGTTGCATAAGAAACTTCTTGAAAGCTCTGGCCAGAAATTTCAGGCATCTCCTTAAACAGTGGGTCCCTGGAGGGATCTGAGAATTGCTAACTAATGTATCCTTTAACATCTTACTGTTTAGCTTACCAGTTTAGATGTGTGCCTGGGAAGGAAGGAAAGCAGAAGCTGTCCACCACTCAAGACTACAGAGAGGTACATCTTGCAGTACAAGCAAGCTAAGCTGCACCCTTACAAACAACACGGCTAATGTTTTAACGAAAACCATGTGAAACAAATTGCAAGTATCAAGTAAACCACTACTAAAGCACCTTTTGCCATTCAGGTGCAACTTATCAAATATCTTYAATCAGAGCAAATAAAAGAAATAATGTGAAGAAAACCTGAAAATCACATCAGCTGTGCTAATTTCTACAACTTCTGAAAGTTAAATGATCCAAGTTAGAGCATCTGCACAGGAATAGAGCACGACCTAGATGAGGCAGCATTTTCTTCTTAAAAAAAAAAAAACCCTTACATGGCAACATTTATCATATCATGAATAGAACAGCAAAAGAATTAATATTTGCTAGTTAGGACAGAGTCATTCCACATGTTATCYGTCACTGGCAGGTACAGGAATATTTGACTTCTCACACACACGTGTTGAAGCGGTTGTGCRGGAAAGACAGGTTACAAGGGTGCGTAACTACAGTAAGTAGTCTAAGGGAACCGATGCAACACTTTATGCAAGAAATGCTAAAAGCAAAGAAAATGAAAGCAAAAAAGACAATTTGTCAAAAGACACAGCACAAGGCAATGACAACATCATTAGAAATCTATCTAGCTACCACTATAAGCATTTCCCATGAACAGAGAAGGTATTTTAAGCACAAAGTCATTGATAAAAGGTCATTTCATTGCCAAGTACTGGATCAATCAACACCACAACAAAGCTCCTCAGAGACTGAAAATATGCTACCATGAGTACAGCACATATTTTATGTGAATACAAACAGATTTTTTTGTTTTAAGTGTGGATCTTAAAAGAAAGTGGCTTACTTCAATTTTTCAAAGTTCTCTGGCTCCAAACTCCATATTTCTTCAACCTGCGCTCCTCTGCAACCTAAGCAAGGAGAGACGCACGTTTCCACAACCACTCCCGTTAGGAAAAGGGCACCACGAGTAGGAAGCGACAAAACCAGGCCGGGAGGAGCAGGTACAACGCATACAGCCGCTACATGCCCCGCTCTTCAGCGCCTTACAGAGCGCTGCTCTTCAGAAACGTCCTTGGGAGCGCGCCGCGCTGAAGGAACCACGCAGCACAGCGCGAGGAAGCGCCGGGCAGCGCAGGCCCGGCCGCGCTCGGGGGCCCCGCCAGCCGTTACACCCGTTAACGGCCGCTCAGCACGTGCCCGCCGCCCCGCCCGGGCGCGGGGCGCAGGCCGCAGCCTCGGCCCGCCGCCGCGCGCTCACCGAAGCCCTTGATGAGCTCGGTGAAGACGCCGGGGTCGCTCTCCATGAGGCACCACTCGNCCCCCCGCCCCCCAGCGCATCACGGTGGTCGTGGGGCGCCCGTTCACCGCGCGGCGCCTGCGGCAGCAGCTCCGCGCCCGCGGCTCCTCCGTGGTGAGCGCCGGCACCGCGGGGGGGGCACCCCCGGGAGGGACCCCCGGGAGGCCACACCCCCCGGGAGGCCACACCCCCCCCGGGAGGCCACACCCCCCGGGAGGCCACACACCCCCGGGAGGACACACCCCCGGGAGGCCACACCCCCCCCGGGAGGCCACACCCCCCGGGCGGGCGGGGGCGGCGCCGCGGGGGCGGGGGCGCGAGGGGCGGGGCGCGACGCGGTGCCGGGTGGGCCCCGTTATCCCCCCTTATCCCCCCGGTATCCCCCGTTCGTGTAACGGCGGCTCCGGCACCTCCCGCAGGGGCCTCTGGCTCCGGAGCAGCCAAGCGGCTTTTCCGCCGCTCCCTGGGGGGAATTTAAGGGTTTACGTACCTTATGTATTTATTTATTTTTCATCATCCCTGCCTTTTTTTTTTTTTCTCCTCCAGTTGAATTAGGCAAATTCTCCCGTAGAATTTTTGAGCAAGGATTTTTGCGTACCCTCGTGCCCAGCCGAGGGGTTTTCGGTGCTCCGGCTTGGGAAGTGCTGTGGTGCCTTGGAGGGAAGGAGGGAGGGAGGGAGGCTCCTGGAAGGGCGGCAGCTCCTGCGTCCCTCAGAGCCGCAGGTTTTGTCCTGCACGGGGGCTGTTTAGAAACACTGTCCGCTGGGACAGCTAAGAGCTTCTGGAAGCCCTTTAGAATYCTCAAGTCAGCACCAACACTAGGCTTTGAAAGAGAAATATRTATTTATATATATTTTTAAGTAGTGTGTTTGTACTTTTACAGTACACTTTATATTATAATTATAAAGGAAAAGATGAGGGGTATAGAGATATGATACTGAGAGTATGAGTGGTCGGAGAATATAATCAGCAGTTTTGCCAGTAGTTCATAATAAATTTTACTCTGTTTCCAGCAGATTTCTTAGACGTGCATAATGGAGGAAGAGGGAAACCAAATGCAGCCCCYGCATGATGAAGAGGTGCCGAGTTCGGCAAGCGGCTTCGTGTGGCACGTCACCGATGTGAATCGACTGCATCGCTTCCTGTGCTTTGGATCAGAAGGGGCAACTTACTCCGTCAAGGAGCAGAAGCTGGGCTATGAAAACGCAGAAGCTTTAATAAGACTGATTGAGGAGGGCAAAGGTTGCGATGTTGTTCAGGCAATAAAGACTTTCAGTCAGGAGGGAAGAGCGGCAAAACAGGAGCCGCTGCTTTTTGCGCTTGCGATTTGCTCGCAGTGTGCRGATGCTAAAACTAAACAAGCAGCGTTTAAGGCAGTTCCTGAAGTGTGTGACGTGCCGGCCCATCTCTTTACTTTCATCCAATTCAAAAAAGATCTGAAGGAGGGCATGAAATGTGGCATCTGGGGCCGGGCGCTACGAAAAGCTGTTGCAGATTGGTACAACGGGAAGAACGGCATGGCTGCTGCTCTGGCAGTTACGAAGTATAAACAAAGAAGTGGTTGGTCTCACAAAGATCTCCTGAGGTTGTCCCACCTGAAGCCTGCCAGCGAAGGTAATAACTTCTTGTTTAGCTGAAGATGCTGCATTTTAAACCYCTCTTATGTATCGTGCTGCTGTTGGAGATGCCAAAGTACCACGGCAGAATGATGGTGTCTAAGYGATGTTATGCCGCAAATTTTATTTTTAAAAAAACGGTCATGTCAGAAATTATACCTTTGTTCATATTAAGGGAAGATAAAATAATCAACCTCCAGTAATTTGTCTCTACAAATGATACTTTTTCGGTATTCAGGAAGATCTGTTGGTTTGGAATATGTTAGACTTCCACAGAAAGTAACGTAATAAATGAAACAACTGCTCTAAGTTGTGTATGCTTACAGAACTGGTGGTATTTCAGGCCCATAGGTTTTGTGGCTAGTTAACAAGTCCACAAATGAACCTTGAAAAAACAAATCAAAACTGCTAGCTGATTTGCTTGCTGAAATAATAAATGCCAATAAAAAGATGATAATTCTTCTTGGAATATTTTTCTTTTTCTATAGGAATTGCTATAGTTACAAAATATATCACCAAAGGGTGGAAAGATGTCCAGGAGGCGTATAAAGACAAAGCAGTTTCTGCTGAGACTGAAAAACTTCTAAAGTATCTGGAGGCTGTGGAGAAAGTGAAGCGAACAAAAGATGAGTTGGAAGTTACTCATTTGATAGAGGAATATGGTTTAGTTAGAGAGCACCTTCTGACAAATCATCTGAAATCTAAAGAAGTAAGTAAACGTCTGTATCTGTTACTCTGTAGGCTAATACTTTTCAGAGTGTTAAGTATAGATTTCCATAAAAAATAGCTGTTACGCAAATATTTGTTTTTTTCTAAATTAATAAGTAAATAGCTAATTTAAAATAGTGAAGATATTTGCATAAGATAGGTGTTTATTTTGAATGCATATATTAATTCAGGATGCCAAGTCTTGTATGTAAAGATGKTTTTTTTCCTTTTATTGTTCTTTCTTTGATGGTAGGTGTGGAAGGCACTGCTGAAGGAGATGTCCATTTCTGTAGTGTTGAGAAATTTAGGAAAGATGACAGCCAATTCAGTGCTTGAACCAGGAGGTTCAGAAGTAGCAATAGTGTGTGAAAGACTGGGAAATGARAAACTACTAAAAAAGGTAACAATTGTTTTGATGATCAGTGCTTGGKTTTTTTTTGTTTTTAATTTCTTCCTAGCCTATATCTCTTCAGATAACTTCACAAAATACAAATAATGCTTATTGAGAAATGTGTAGTTTATTCTTTTTAGAAAATGGAGTACTTGGGCCTTTCTTTTAAAATATCATAGAGGAGTCAATAGGGGCTTCACCTTTTTAAAGTATTTTTAAAGTGAGAGTTCCCATTTTTTATAATTGTTGATGTATTTTGCTTTTAGGGTAGAATACATCCTTTCCATATTTTGGTTGCATTAGAAACCTATAAAGCTGGACATGGAAGTAGAGGGAAACTTTGGTGGCGTCCTGATGAAGACATTTTAGCAGCCTTAGATGCTGCATTTTACAAAACGTTCAAGGTAATATTGTTATTTAGCTTGTTAAGTTTTTGAAGAAATCTCCGTGTTCTTAAAGTTTAGATGAATAAGTGTGGTAGATAATCTGTTTGAAACTTTATAACAAAAAACCACCGCCAACAAAAAAAACATAACCCCACTTGGGAAGTGGGGCTTTGATTATTTTTGTTTGTTTGCTTATTCAAGCAAACACAAGCTAATGACACTCAGCTTTTGGCAATGTTATTGCCCTAATGTGGTCCCAGGAAGAGGAAGATTCACTTTCAGGGTTGAAAGCAGATGCAGAAAGTGGAAATTAATATATTAGTATGTGCGTTTATTTTCTTCTTTTTGTCTTTTAGACAATTGAACCCACAGGAAAGCGCTTCTTACTTGCGGTTGATGTCAGTGCATCAATGACACAAAAAGTTTTGGGCAGTGTTCTCAATGCCAGTACGGTTGCTGCAGCCATGTGCATGGTGTGTATTTCTTTAATTTGTGACTATCTGAATTCTCTGGTATGAGAAGGTAGCTTGTATTCCTTTTTTTTTGACACAAAAGTAGTCTTGAAATTGAAGGAAGTGTCTATATGGTTTTGCTGAGACACAGGTTCCGTGGCTTGGTGTGACTTCGTGCTTCATTGTTAGACCTGCAGCTTGATGTTACTGCAGACACATTGAGAAGTCACCTTGAGTTTAAGAGCAGCAGTCAGGCTTTACCTTAGCTGATAATACCCCTAAGAAATATTCGGAAGCCTTGACGATAACATACAAGTTGGACTGAGAAATTTGAGAGAATGTGGGTGTGTGAATTGGAGTTGTCAGCATGACCTCTTTATGATTTTTTCTTTCCCCTTTACCTGAGCTCCTAAAGCTTCTGTGACTTTTTTTGTTACAGAAAAGTAGTTCTAGTCTGTCTTTAAAAAAGTTAAGTCTCCTATGTTGAAAAGAGGGAGAGAGGAAATATGGAAGTATCTTATTTTTCAGTAATTAGAGCTATTAATCTCTGATCTTTGCACTGCCAATTTGTGGTAATATTATGAGTACAGTGTGGAATGAGGCATTAGTGTGTATAAGGAGCCATGCTGACTTAAATGTATATGTATGGGTTTCCTTTATTCATAAGGGTATACTTAATGAATTACTTGATTCAGGCATTCAAAATTCTAAATAGTGTAACTAATATATTTTTTTTCCTCCTCTTTCTCAGGTTGTAGCACGTACCGAGAAGGATTCCCATATTATTGCCTTTTCACATGAAGTGGTCCCCTGCCCAGTGACAGCTGATATGACATTACCTCARCTATTAGTGAAAATGTATGAAGTATGTAAAAACAAAAAAACAAAACCTCTACTGCTAATATTGCAGTTTAGATATCTTTGCAGTAGCTGCATTCTGTTTTCTGTGTTTCTTTTATGTTTGTATAGTAAAACATTGTGGACTTTTTTGGCTTCTATTTAAAGCAAATCTAACATTTTTCAGCTACCTAAAAATTGAACGTTGCAATTAGACTGTCAGTTAGTTCACAGTGATCTCATTGTTAATTAGCTTGAAAAGGATACCTTAAAGCAACTAGACAGAACTGAAATAAGTGAACTGTGCTTCAACCAAGAAAYCTGTGTATAATAAAACGTGAAGCTTATGTAAAAGCTTTGCTTTTTACCAATATCTGTACTAATGTATTYCATGAGTAATATTTTCTTGTTCTTTCCTCCTTAGATTCCAATGGGTACCACGGATTGTTCCCTTCCCATGATATGGGCTCAAAAGACGCAAACAGCTGCTGATATCTTTATGGTATTTACAGATAACGAGACCTTTGCTGGAAATACTCATCCTGCAGTGGCCCTTAGGGAATATAGGGAGGTAAGTAAGCTTCTGKCTGCTTATATTTGATGAACATGGTGCAAAATAAAGACTTTTTATAGAAACATTT